ATTTTCACCATCTTCAGCTTTCATTTTTTCAATTTTTCTTCTTGTTGTTTTTCTTTTTTATTTTCTTTTATTTTTTTAGGACAGGGTCTACAGGGTCTCATTTTGTAGACTGGACTCGTAGTGATCCGCCTGTGTTCAGCCTCCCAAGTGCTGGGATTATAGGCGCACCACCATGACCAGTCTTAATTGCCCTCTCAGCATGCCCAGCAATTGAGATTGGGCGGGGTGGTGTGCGCCTGTAATTCCAGCTCTTGGGAGGCTGAGCACAGGCGGATCACTACCAGTCCGATCTAGTAGTGAGACCCTGAACACCCTGTAGAGCCTTCCCCCGTCCAAAAAAAAGAAAAAAAAAAAAGAAAAAGCATCCTAACTAGACATGGTGCTCTATATCTGTAATCCCAACATTCACGAGGCTGAGGCAGGAAGATCATAAATTCAAGGGAAGTCTAAAGCTGCCTAATGATACCCTATTTCAAAAGAAAAGGAAAAGAGACAGGATCCTAAGATTTCTACAATAAAGTTAAGATTTCTGCATAAAAATAACACATGGTTCCTCTAGTGTGAGAAACACAAACTAGAAATAATTCAAGGGGCAAAATAAAAAGATGACATTAGGGAACAAGGTGGCAGACTGAGGACATGGGGAGGAGTGTGAGGATGATTGTGACACGATATAAATGTGCCAGTTCCCCAAGAATGCGGTGACTAGGGGACCACCTGCTCGGGGTCCCCTTCCTGTCCCTCTCTCAGACAGGAGCTTTCCTTCCCCCAGTAAATATATTCTGGGTGTTTTGTTTTTTTTTTTTGCAGAACCGGGGATTGAACTCAGGCCCTTGTGCTTGCCAGGGAAGCACTTAGTCCACTGAGCCATCTCCCCAGTCCCAGTAAATATATTCTGCTCAAAAAAAAAAAAAAAAAAAAGAAAGAAAGAAAAAAGAAAAGAATGTGATGATTATGTATTGCAAACATAGACTAATACAAAATCAGGGGCTGGTGAGATGGCTCAGTGGTCTAAAGCACCTATTTGAACAAGCTTAGCAAAGCACAGGGACCGTGGTTCGATCCCCCAGCACCACATGCCAGCCAGCCCCGCCCCCTGGTGGGCTGAGCTGGCCACACACACACACACACACACACACAAAT